CAGTTATATCTCAGTGTTATTTCTAACTTTTCTAACATATGTCCTATTAGTTTTGACCCTTCATAAGTGCTTTAATTCCCGTCTATAGTCACATAAGTTTGAATATCCTCAAGATGACACACTTTGGGATATATCATGGAAGACTTTTTCCTGAAGAAAAAGGCAGACACAAAGGCTATAAGTTTACATCAATGTCAATAAGGGCTTGATTATCTTAGATATAATGGTGATAATCCAATAAGAATAAGAGTAATGGTAGCTAATATTGTTAAGGGCTCACCAAATTAAACACTCTGCTAAATGATCTGAACAACTTATCATGTGTATTATTTTTTATTTATTTTTTATTATGTGTATTCTTGATAATAATCTATAATAAATGAGAAAATGTAGATTATCCTTAAGTAGATATGACTTCAGTGTCATGATAATGAAATCAATAATATTAGACAACACAATTTAACAGCCTTAAATGTTAGGCAACTAACAATAACAAAATGCTATGCTTTCTGAAAAGGTCGATGGACTACAAGAGACTAATCTTGAAAGAGATTTTTGGAATATGATTTTGATGCCCAGGTTCAAGCTAAAATAACTACATGTTTTGAAAATTTTTGGATACTCTTTCTCCTATGTAAATCTTTTAAAATGTATATACAGTGTTTTTACTTTATTGTCTTGGAAATAATTCCTCTGACTACTTAGAAACACATGTAAACAATTTATTTAATATTTATTTTCTCAATAAATATTGACCATTGACTGTGTATGTGGCATTTTGCAGAGCACATTAAGAAGACAGACAAAGTGCCTTTAGCCCTAAGGACTTTCAGCCAAGATAGGGGAGACACATGCACTAATACAATGAAGCACTGTAGATTTGAAGAGACATCGAAAAGACTAGAGAGCATAGAAAAGATTGTAAATGGAAGGAGATGTTAACTTTCCCTGATGAGAGAAGGGCAGGCGCACAACTCGGTTACCCAGAACAGCTCAGGTTGTTTGTTACTCATTGTGGTAAATCACCGCAGGGGTGGAATACTGAAAATTATACAAGTAACTGCATCAACCTGTCCATTGGCATAGGTTTCATGGAAAACAATTCTTGTAAATGTCACAAAATTTCACTAGGAAAGAGAAGATTAAGAACGACAGAGAGGGTTGACTCTCATCTGGCTGTTTAAAGAAAGCAAACCGTCAGTGTCAGAAAGTAGAACAATCCCAACAACTACAACATTCCTTTAAAAAAAGACAGAGGGACGTTGACTTTATGTAGAATAACAAATTAACTTTATGAAGGATAACAAAGTTATTTTAAAGTTAACTTTATGTAGAATAACAAAGCTTCTATTACTAAAGTCAGCTAAAGACTGACAGAGAGAAAGCCAAGAACCTTCTGAGATAGTTAAGGTTTACTGTGCCAACCTGGCCGATAAACACAGGTGGGATTAATTGAAGGGTGGAGGGATAAATGGCTTGGTGAGCCTCGCCTTCCTAGTTCTTGGGTCTCTTTGTTTTCTGATGGTCGGACCAGGGTGCAGCTGCCTTAGCCAGTTCCCTGCTTTAGCTGGCAAGGCTTACTTCCTGCAAGACATCCCTGAGGAGAAACCACATGGACCTTCTCTGATGTGGAGCCCCTGCCAGCACTGAGATGCTTACATGTTCACTGATTCAGCTTTCCTCCTGTAGTCGGCATCATAATGTGTGTTTTGTGAAGTGGAGGAGGACTTAGTGGATTGGTGTCGGACAAATGGGCTAATGTTGGACTTGTGGGCTTGGGCAGCACTGGGTTGGGATGCTTTCTTAATGTACACTTACCCTTTATATAAAACTCTCTCTTATACCTGAGTTTCTGTGGATTTGTTTCCCTAGTTTACACAGACTAACACACCTTCCAACTCAGCAGAAGTATACACTTGTCCTTAAAATTCTACTTTATAAGTAAGCACGTATACTTGAAATTGAAAGTAAAATAGTACTTTCTGCAGTATGGCAAAGGCACGGTACCACCTCTGTAGTGCAAACGAATGAGCTCATCTCTTTTATAACAGCAACTCTCTTAGTCTGCGGGCTCTGTAACTGGATAGTCACTTTAAAGGACATGGCTTAATCATGTAATGAAGGCAATACCTCAGGCCTCTTTTAAAATGCAAACCCAAAACAGAAAGAGGCTAAAATGATCATCTAAAGTTTATTAAAGTAGATCAAACTATAGTAATAACTTTGCTATGTCACGTATCTCAAATTAAAGACCATGATTATTGCTGAAGTGAAATGGCATGCAAATAATAACAATGGTCTTTCCAAAATCCTATGGGAAGTAGGCTACGTTTCTGTGAGGTTTTCTCAGTGAAGGAAACTGATATTATCTCAGCAGAAGAATAGTATTCGCTATATAATTCCTTTATTTAGTGGTAAACAAAATATAATGAATGGCATTTATGTGCATGGTTTTTACCATAATACGTTTCATTTTTGTCTAGAATGCACTGAGGTTTTTTGTTTGTTTTGAGTGGGAAAGTTTGCTTTGCTTTGCTTTTGTGGGGTAGGCATCCTTCTTCCCTTCAAAATTCATCAGCTTTCTCATTGGTTCCAGTTTAAGGAACCACTACATTGAGCTATACAGCAATTTATCTTTCCACTTCTATAACACTTATCTACACAACTTAATAATATATACAATATATAATACATATAAAATATCTGTAACACAAAACTGAATTTAGTATTACATGTGTACAGACTGTGTTTATATATGTTTTATAGATACGGAGAATGCATGGTTATTCCATACATACTAATGTTTTTCAAGAATCTATAAATGCAGGGAGGTCAGGACTTCATGCAAGGTTTAGTAGATAAGAGGTACTGTTATTTGGCACACATTTGACAAACACTTTCTAACATGTGACTAAACAAAGGAAAATAAATTGTTTTAAAATGAAATCTTTATTATTTATAGAAAGGTACTTGTAATAAAACTCACCCATGGTTATTATATCCCGAGTTACTAAAAATACAGTTCAACACATACTTTTTGTCACTTGGAATATATATTACCATATCATGGTGAGGAAGAGAGATCTCCATGAGTTCACAATGAATTCACAATACGATTTGATGCATATAATGATTTCTTAAAACCTCTGAATGTTGAGGTGTGATACTTAGAGTTGTCAATTTGACCAGGCCAGAGTCCTCACTGGTTTGGCAGTTGAGGCTCAGCCATCCCCCATGATGTCAACTAACAATATAATCGGCTCCACAAGGAGATCTGCTCTGAGCAGTTGCAAGCTAGAGTGGAGTACAACTCCCTAACTCAGGTCACAACCTTGACACACCTGCAAGGAAGGTTCCTCAGGGGTGTGGCCTACTTCCTATATAAATGGATGCAGTGAGAAAGCCATGTAAAAAGATGCTGTAGGAGCCCTGGTAGCATACTGGTTCGAATTGGACTACTAACTGCAAAGTCAACTGTTCAAAACCACCAGCTGCTCCCAGGAAGAAAGAAAGGATTTTCTACTGTAACAAGTACAGTCTCAGAAACCCACAGGAGCAGCTGGTCCTCTGTCCTTGCGGCACTATGAGGCAGCATCGACTCGATGGGCAGTCTTTGTTTGATTTCTGGGTGGGAAAGCTTGCTTTATTCTTGCTGGGTCTATATCCTGTGTCTAGCTCGTTGATGCTGGTTCACTGGACTTGAGCCAAACAACTGCTAGCTTTCCTGCCTGCCCCTAGGGCCAACAGTGCAGTCCACCATCTGACCTGCCAACTTTGGATTTATTCACCTTTCCAGCCCCGAGCCTGGCCTTCTGAATGTGCATTCATCTACCTCTGCAACCTGAAGTTCCTGCCAATCTTGAGTTCATCAGACCCCAAAACAATAAGTCAGTAGAAACCTTCAGAACTCAGACTGGACTTGCCCAGTTCTACAATTTTATCTATCTATCTATCTATCTATCTATCTATCTATCTATCTATCTATCTATCTATCTACAATCACCTACACATATACATGCATATTTATTTATATATGTACCCACACACATATATGCATATGTACATAGATAGGTGATATAAATATACCACTGGTTTTGCTTCTTTAGAGAACACAGTCACACATGGCAAAATCATTACTAATCCAGGAAGAAGCATTTTATAGAGTTCAAAAGGAGGAGATGACATATATTTGGGGAAGAATTAGGAGGACTGTAATAATTGGACCCTTTAAGCCCTTTGAGTACTATTCTAAACATTTTCCATGTGTCGACTTATTTGATCTTTGCTCAATCTCATGAGTTAGGTACTAAGAATATTACAGATGAACAAGCTGAGAGATATGCCTTAAAAGATGTATATAATATTTTGACCAGAGAAGGAAATCCCAAGCAATGTCACATGGGTATAGTGTGTTTATGATTCAGAGGGAGATTGATTGGATACAGAGGAACTACTGGGAACACAGATGGTCAAAGCTGGTTTGAGCCACAGTGTGAATACATACAGCTCTTCATATGGGAGACTGTGGGAACAAAGGATACATCATAGGAAAATGATGATATGATTGAGATATGACTTGCTAACAAAATGTAATCAAATAGTTCATTAGAATAGATGGAAAACGTGAAGGTGGACGGACCAGCTGGGGCTTCGTTTGAAATGAGTCCGGTCAGAGGTAGTGAATGCGAAGGCAGCGGTGCCAAACAGAACAGGAGGATTCCGTAAGCACAGTGGAAGGAGACTGGCTGCCCATCAAATCGATGGGATGGAAGAAGAAAAAGCCCCAAAATAATCTGCTGACTTCGAATATGGCTGAGAAAGACAGTGAACTCAATTATTAAGTGCCATTAAGTAAAACCTTACCTGATGGATAGACAGGCCCTTGTGTGAACTCACACGCACACACAATAGGCACCAGCTTGCCGTGCTTCAAGAATCATTTGATTCCTCTCACACCTAGTAATACAGTGAAACACACAATGCGGATAAAGGCACCTTACCCCTTTGCTGTAGTCACTCTCTGAATCACTGCTGAGTTCTTCGGTATTCATAATTTCCAAATCAGATTCCCCTGGTGCAATTGGCACTGTCACTGTGAGGCTGGGGTTATGAATAAATGATTGGCAGTCACTTTCTTCCATCAAGTATTTGTCCAGGCTGCTTCCAAAACCACTCATCTTATCCTTTTCTTTGTGGAAATTGAGCTCTTTGTTCATCTCAGCAAGTGTACGATTAGAAATAAAGTTTTCCTTTTTACCAGTTAGATCTTCTGTTTCCTTTATGTCCCTGGAAATCTTTGGCTTTTTGGAAAATGCTTTCAGAATAAATTCATGTAAGGTGAGTTTCACATAATTTATTCCCTTCTTAATCCTGGCCACTGCAATCTGGAGGTTGTTTGCATCTTTGTCTTCCTCGATTGCTGAAAGGTTGTCTGAGCTGAATGAGCTCAATAATAAAGCAAGAAATAAGTTCAGGACCTACATTGGGGTGGAATGGGGTGTAGAGAAAAAAGGAGATCCAAAAATTAAGGAAATAAGCACATTTCCTCCCTGATACACAGTGCAAAATTCAACCCAGCAACGACAATCTGTGTTCCTTACACATAGGTAAGAACATGGCAGGAATGAAGAGTGTAGAATGCTCACCACTCTCTCCATACTGCAACTCGTGTGCATGAATTCTGGGTGGCAGAGAATCATCTATACCCACGGAGAACTACCATGGTGGGGAGAGACTGGTCCTTCACCATGATCATTCTGTCATTTTTAAGTGTATCACGGTGCCAGGTGTCCTTTAGTCAAATTTTTCTTTTGTGGGCCTAAATTGTCTTCCTGATGATCCCTATAATTGCTCATTAGTACTTTTATCCGTAACACCCAAGTAGAATAAGAAAATTTGCACTGTGTCTACTGTGTTTAATTAGCTAGACAAAAATCTCTGTTCACTTTTCTCAGGACGTAAATATTGTCGACACAAATGGAGCATGTAATATTTGTGCATTTTGGCTCACTGCCATCAAGTGATGACAACTCATAAGCACCCACCAGGACAGCACAGAGCTACCCCAGTGGGTTTCTGACACAATAACTCTTTACAGGAGTATAAAACCCAGACTGTCTTCTGAGGAGCAGCTAGTGGTTTTGAACCGAGGACCTTGTGGATCATAGTCGAATGTGTAACCACTATGCCACTGTAATAAAACTGATCAAGAATTGTGCCGGCTGCTTCTTAAGATAATGTTTAAAGTACAAGAAAGGGCTTGCTCACTGAATCTGATTCAAATGAGGAAATGACATTTTGATTAGGTTGATTCATTGCCAATCATTTTAGACCTTGAAGTTACCAAAGAGATAAAAACAACCCTTCTCGTTGAAACAAAATCCTGGTTGTGAACAAAACCATTAGTGTTTTCTGTCCCTGAGGTGGGTCCCAGTAAACTCAATATAGTTGAAAAAAAATTCTCACTCGGGGCTTAAATCGTGTATACTATATTTAAACATTGTTTCGTGTGAGAATCACATGATTTGTTTGATATAGGTCTGTGTCCAGCAATGCCTATCTCATATTAAAAGAACAAAAATTAGCCCTCAAGAAGGAGCAGGGGCTTGCCCTTGATTTTATCCACACATGAAGGAATTCCTCAGAGATTTAGGTAGCAAACATCAGCTCATTCGAAAAATGCCTATCTCATGAAGTCTGGTCTGGTTTAGAGGCTTACCGGGATGAGGGCATCAAAGGATGCACTTGTTGGTGATCTCTAGGCCTGCTAAAGTTCCCTTTGTTGCATTATTGTCACCGAGTAAACAGATTCCACTATGAACTGCATGAAGTGTACGTGTTTATTTTCATAGGAATGTTGATAGGACTCATTTTATTGCTTGGGATTCCTAAGCAGTGAAAAGTGTTGATAGGCTTCCTTTTCAATAGTATTAATCTATTTTATTACTTCTTCCCGGAGACAACATACTATAATAACATTCCTTCCTTAAAACTCATAAAGTGACTCAATGTTTTATTATAATCAAATGAATGCCACAAAGTAAAATAAAGGCCAATCTCTCTTGCCTATCCATTATCACATTAGGCAAGAAGATAAATATTAATAAAGTATATATGTGATTCAAAGTCTCATTCTGATGAATAGTTTCTGATGAAGAATTGAACTCACTAAAAGTTTCCAGTTTCCTTAATGACCCACTAAAACTTGTGGTTATTAGCATTTGGTTGTAAAATGGACTGAGGGATAAATTGAAGACGAAGAAAAAATACGTCTGTCTAACAAATAACTAACATAGACAGCTGTACTAGAAACACTTTTTTGACTTTTCCAGATTTTGATCAAGCATTAAGAAGAGTCCTTTAATTACTTAAGAGTTAGCTGTACATTTTGTGAATTAGGCTTTCTTCCCCACTCTCACTAACAAATAATGAATGCCCACCATGAGTGGGTCATCATCCACTTTATATGGGTTAAACACACAACAGTGCATTGCCTCTATTTATAAGTATAACTCTAATTGCCTTTCACCAATATCCAGGCAAAAATATGAGAAGGTATCCCCCCAAAAAAGAAAAACTGGAACTTTTTTTCAAAGCTGCGTATCTAAATTATTTTTTACAAAACAACCTTATCACCATCATAGCACCCTCCATTACACTGAATACATTTGTCAAATCTGCAATGCCATTCTGGGAAACATTTTTCAACTCATCTGCTAGGATGGCTGACAACACCTCCCTCCTTTTTTCCTTCACCTCAAATCACTGTCCTTTCATGTCTCTTGTAGCAGTTACATAATCTCCTGTCAACCTGAGTGAAGGGGTGGAGGCTAGCCTCTCAATTAGGTCATAGCCAATGAGGCCTCTGTGTGGGCATGGCCTTTTCTTGAGGATTCTGGGAACTCCTATCTTCCTCCTTGGAGGTGGGACACACACTCTCTCTGCTTCACATTCCTGTTGACAAGCCACATGGAGCTACGCTGACGGCAGCCAGGGCCCTGGAGCTAGATGAGCCACATGGAGACCCATGCCAGTGTTGGGATGTTTCTACTACCACTGGATCCACAAGACGCTTCACCCACTGCCCTGTGATCTTTCTGTATTTGGTATCATTGCATGCCTTCTGTGAGTCTGATGAGGAATGTATAGACTGGTATAGGGCATATGGGCTAATAACTGACTTATGGACTTGATCTGGACTGGGCTGGGATGTTTTCTTAATACACAATTACTGTTTGCTATAAAACCTCTGGATTTGTTTCTCTAGTCTACCTGGACTAACTCATCCCTCTTCATTTGCAGAAACAAAAAGAAGTCACACGGAGCGAGGTCAGGTGAGTGAAGTGCGTGGGGCAAGAGAGGCATGCTGTTTTTTTGCCAAAAACTGGTGCACTGAGATAGCTGCGTGAGCAGGTACATTGTCATGCTGACAAAATCAGTCCCCCGTCTGCCACCAATCAGGCCGTTTTTGTCGCATAACATCATGCAATCTTTTCAGAACCTCTAAATAGAAAGTTTGATTAACAGTCTGACCTGGTGGCATGAACTCCAAATGCACTAACCCCCTCATGTAAAAAACAAAACAAATGAGCATCAGTTTTTGTTTTTTTTTTTTTGGGGGGGGAGTACCCTTTTACAAAAGGGCATGTACTATGCATTTTCTAAAGGTTCACTTGAAAAGTCTTCCCTAAGTAACAATCCAGATCATCCTTGTTTTTCTTCCAAGTGTCAAGCACATTTTATTTTTATCTCATTGCTAGTGTTTACTTCTTCATTGTCTAATCATTTCAGTGTATGTTTATCTCTTTCCTAATGGACTGTTAACATCCTGAAGAGAGAGATAAAATTTTGGGTCTATTTTTGAGCACCTCACAAACCTTAAACACACTTTCTTTAATGTAGCAGGCACTAAAAAACGTGGAATGACTAATGTATCCAGACCCCACAGAACTCTTCCTCATTTGACATTTATCAGAATGAGCAATAAGCATCTATATTATTTGTGACCCTCTTCTTTGGTGTGATAGTTTCTTAGATTCTTATACCTTGTAGAGAGCTGCATTTCATTATTTTTTGAGTTTCAAAAATTTGGAAAAAGAAAAAGCCAAAGAAACATCACAGAACTTGTGAATTTAACCCTTAAGCTCCGTGTAGAGAATGTGCACTTCATTACATAGTCACAGGGTTTTATCATACTATACACAAATGATGAATACCATTTGTAATACCAATACTATATTCATTTGTTAATACCACTTGAAGATGAAAGGAAATGCTAAAAGAAATGTGTATTTGATGTAAAGACTCCGGATGAACAGTCTTTATAAGTTTTAGATGGAATCTTGAGCTGACGAAAACCTCCTGTTTAACAGAATGGTAATTCATTATGTGCATCTTCTGTTCAACAAGGTTCTGAAATTTGCAGTGTTGAAGCTATTCTCTGTAGGTCTGGCACAGTAACATTTAGTTTGTAATTTGATGACGTTTGGTTTCTATCCTATAGACGCTGAATGACTTCTGACATAGGTATTACAAAGACAGGGGGAAAAATTGTCAGGAACATCTTTGTCAGCCAGTGGAAAGGGCAAATATCTACCATATGGCTGTTACCATACCCCACTTCCTGAAATCTCTGATGGAGGATCTGATGTGAAGCTGACCACATGGACCAAGGCAATGTGGAGCTTCGAAAACGCAGGTGAGTGGCTAATTTATCCCAATTTTATCCCATATATAAGTTCAAGCTTTCACCAACAGATACAAGAAAGAAAGAAATTGATGAGTATAGGCAGGAAAAGACTAATGAAGAAACAGGAAGATTGCTATGTGAAAGAGATACTACAGAGGAATTAATAGTAATAGCCTAGATAATAAAAAATTTATGGTTTGTAGGCCACAGGGCTCTATCAGAACTACTCAGCTATGGTACTGTGAAAGCAGCCATGGACAATGAATGAGCTTGCCTATGTTCCAATAAAACTTTTTAAATGGTGATATTTGAATTTCATATAATTTTATGTATAATGTAATATTATTCTTCTTTTGGGATTTTTCAGCCATTAAAAAAACGTAAAAATCATTCTTAACACAAAGCTATATCCCAAAATAGGTGTTTGGGTTTGGTCC